GTGAACTCCAAAAATGAATGGGTCTAAGATTAAGAAAAGGCAATGGTGAGATGAATTATATTACAGGGATCCAGGCAGAACAATAACAGATCAGAGTCCAGATCAAATGAGATGTTGGATGGTGGGAAAATACATCCTGGGTATGATTATTTAACTCGGGGAGGTGAAAATGGATAAGACTGGTTTGAACAAAGGATGCTATTGACAAACTTGGAACTTATCGACTTTATATCTCTCACTATGAGAGACCAGGCAAGAAAAATATCTAGAGGAAGATGTTAGAAAAACAGAAGTGTGGATCAGAAAGCAAAGGGAAAGTAAAAGAAAAAAAAGAAAGAACTCCACTGCAGCAAACGATGCAGCCCTGAGCCTGTCAGAGAAGGAAACTTTCCTAAATTGAGCAGGAGTACAGTAGAGGCAAATCCTACAGACTGTAGCAGAAAAAGACAGAATCATTAACTCAGGACCAGGTGCATTCAAAAACTGAGGAAAACCATGTCTTCGGGAGGAAATGGCAGTAGTATTGGTCCCTACTGGGCCCCTATTAAAAGGAGCCTCAACAACATGAACGGCTAATGCAATTCAGAAATTCACTGAAAGCTATTCTCCCATTGAAACCGATGTGGAGACGAAGGGAAAGCTGAGTCCGTGAAGTATGTTTCTTAGGCTTAAACAGTTCTCTCACCACAGGCTGTGACAGCAGCCACTGTGACCCAGGATTGAAAACAGTGCCCCCAGGACATGGCGATGCTGTGCCACACAAGACAGGGCCCATCGCCAGTTCAGCACGGGGTCTGGAAACATGGAACTCAGAGGGGAAAGGACATTAAGATGTTTAGGACACTTTACAGAAGGAAAAAACAGTACCTCAAACAAGCCCTTGTGACTCAGCCTGCCACCAATGTAAATTTCCAAAGTCGCAAGGATGCAACGTTCTCAGTGCCCTCTTTAAGAATAAGAATAATAATAACATTAGCAGCAATAATAACGATGTTATAATGCTTACCAAGTCCCCGGCACTTGTTGTAAGGACTTCACATAGAATTCATTTAGGCCTTACAACAAGCTATTAAGATAAGTACTCTAATCTCTAATTTTCAGATGAGAACGCTGACTCTCAGAGAAACAAATCTGTCCAAGGTCAGACAGTAAGTGGCATAACTGGAACATGAACTCTGGCTCCAAAGTCAGAGCACTTAACCAACACTTTGGGCAGCCTCTTAGAGAGAGGACACAGTGTGCCCTGGTCAGTTCCCCCTCAAGACGTTATCAATACATAGTACTATAATTAATGCCTTGGTGGGAGATTGCTTCCCAGTCACAGGTCATAGGCCCTGCTCAACAGCATAAATCAACTAGCTTCTTTAAAAGACTGACATAAAGAATGTTTTCTCGTCTTTGCCTTCCTTCCCTTAGTCTCTACTATGGTCTTTGTCAATGGTGCCAGGGGTCTGGATCATGCCAAATACAGGATTTTGGAAACATCATTTTGCTAGGAATGGCCACATTAGAAACTGAGGATTGCTGTTCTGAATGTGCTGGGTGTGGTTCTGATGTTGTGATTATCTTTCGGTTCAGTTGGAAGTAAGGCACATGATAAAGCTGGTATAGACCCAACTCAACTTCTGAGGTCCCAAGGGATGACACCCACAGCAGGAGCCCAGACAGTAGCAACTGGAGAAATTCCCGCTTAAACCAGGCATCTAGAAACCATCTGGATGACACTGGGAAGAATAAAAAGTAGACAGGAACTTCATTTCTTTGAATTTTAACCTACGGGGTTTGAACTTTTATTGGATTTTAACTTACAAAGGTAAGATTATTTGATTTTTTCACTCACTTCTGTGTAGACTTTTAAAATTTATATTTTAATTTCTTGGAAAATTTTATTCTTGGAATTTAATTTCTTCACAAAAAAATTGATAATGGGCAAGAGTTAACACGCAAATTCAGAGTATCTCTATATTATTGAAATTTTGTGACTGAAACACATTAATCCTGTCATTTGATCTCACTGCAGGATCTGAAGAAGTTGTCAGAGAATATATAGCTATTTTGGATATTGTTGCTGGGCATATTTGAGAGTGGGAAATGGAATAAGAAATGAATGTTCAGTGTTTAATAGCATGACTTTGGAGCCAATTTAATTACTGTGCTATTCTAACTCAGTATATTCTAGGGTAAATTTCATATTGCCCACCATGATCTAGAAGGATCCACAAAGGAGCAGGATTTGGTTATTGGAATAGCAGCCTCTTAAAGTTCACCATACCTAATAATTAAGCCAAAGTTAAGAGAACAAAACTTGGGGTGGTATAAGGGGTAAAGAAAGTGTCATTACACAACTCCATCTAAATCTGGCATTAGCTACATGTGTTCTGCAGTGGTCACTGTGCTGCAATAATACCAGTTAGCTCATATATGATTGCTGAATGGGGGAATGATGTCAGTACTAAGTGAAAATTTGGTTGGTGAATATGCGCTTTTCTTTGGCAAAGGAGGCCAGGAGAGTAGGAGTAGAATTTTATACTTTAGCAGGAAAGAAAGACCTTCCTTTGAATGCAGTTCCGGGGTTCCCTTCCTGGAAAGGTGCGCTCTTGGTCCTGCATGACTCTGTGGGAGTTTGGCTTCCTCTGTGACTTCCTTAAGGGAAGCCCCACTGGCTCAAATCTCCAGGTAGATTTCCATCTGCCTTGTCTCACACTCGAGTATTGCTCCTGTGCAGCTTTAATATCCTCTGAAGCAGCACTCTGTTTAAACCCAGGCTGTTTATATTACCTCCTAAGTTAATAATTATTATTTTTAGTTGTATTCTGGTTTTAAAGATGCACAGGTTTTATGTTTTGTTTTGTTTTTGTAATATATTTTTTATTGATTTCAGAGAGGAAGGAAGAGGGAGAGATAGAAACATTAATGATGAGAATCATTGATTGGCTGCCTCCTGCATGCCCCTCACTGGGGATCAAGCCCGAAACCTGGGCATGTGCCCTTGACTGGAATCGAACCAGGGACCCTTCAGTCCGTAGGCCAACGCTCTATCCACTGAGCCAAACCAGCTAGGGCAAAGATGCACAAGTTTTGAATGGTCTTCCTCAACTCCATTTTTCCCATAACCCTATTATTTTGGTGGAAATCTTCATGCATATATTATGTCTCAGTAGAAATGTTGTACCAGCATGCTGACCACATATAGTAATACGGCATCTTTACTAATGGTAGCTGTCTTCTACTATAGAAAGAATAGATCTATAAAGAAGCCACAGCCAAAGAACTTTTCCACATGTAACAAAATAAATTTCTTTGTTAAAATCTTCTATTTAGAAACCTAAAAGCACAAGCAATTTTCAAAACCCATGGAGTGTCAAAGGTTTTACTAGACTTGATAGAATGAAGTAGTTTAATATCATATCGACTGTGTTCATTTCTCATAGTATACGAGGAAACTTGCAAGTATACCTAATTTCAAAAAAGAAGCAACAGATAGAAAATTTTTTATATGTATTCGTTACTTTTAGCCCTTGATACAATTACACTTCTAATCTATGCTTATAAATAAAAAGTAATTGCTATGATCTTAATATTACACATTATTAAATGACTTTTTCTGATCCAAAACAAAGCAGGCAAAAAATAAAAATAAAAAAAGGTTATACATCAAATCAGAGTATTAGCATTTGTTTATTTAAATTAAGAGATAACTTTCATCTAACACTTGGCTTTTCTCAAGTTGAAGTTCAGAAAACCATCAAACATAAAAGTTTAGGGAACTCAATCATTTGATGCACAAAATCATACTAACAAACAAAGAAGAAAGAAATGCAAAAATCTAATGTTAAGTGACTAGGGTGCTTCAGACTGGAAGTTCCTCCGAAAGGATTAGCTTCTTTAAGTATTTTAAGTCCAGTGAATTTGTTATGCTTCCACATGTTAGTAGCTGCATAGGCTAATTCCAGCTGGCATAAGCTTTTATAAGTATGCAAAAACACAAGGCAAGGCATGCATTAAAATGTGATAATATCACACTTCTGGGACACGGGAGCATGAGGCATGAATCCCAATGCCTCTGGCATCCATGAAGTATCATGCCTCAGAGTCAGAGATTTTTCTGTTTGGGTATTTTATTATACCACATTTGGAGAGGGGGGAAAAAAAATCAACTTTCTAAATATAAATCTTTCATCTTAACCAGGGTTCTTATAGTTTCAATTCTAGCAATGAACTCAAATCTAAAATTTTGGGTGAGTTGGTAATAATTCAAACTAGATAGGGTCTTAACAAAATTATTTATTTATTTAATCAATGAAAGTTTAAGAGTAATTATAAAATATGGTTGATCACAAAGAAAATTTTAGCCAGCATGATGAAGGAAAGGGATAAAAATGCAAAAAAACCCCCCAAAAATCCAAGAAATCAACTTTAATAATGATACTCCCCCACTCCTAAAAAAAAGAAAAAAGGTTTTCCTGTCTTACATATGTCTGTGCTATAGAGTGAATGTTTGTGTCCCACACCCCATATATTAAAACTTAATCCCCAATGAGATTTGGAAGTGAATAGGTCATGAGGCTGAAGCCCTTCTGAATGGAATTAGTGTCCTTATACAAGAGACCCCAGAAATCACCCTTGCCCCTTCCACCACATAAAGACACAGTAAGAAGAATGAGGAAACGGGCCCCTCAGCAGACGCTGATCTATTGGGACCTTGATCTTGGTACCGTTCTCCTTAACTGTGAGAAATAAATGTTTGTTGTTTAAGCTACTCAGTCTGTGGTATTTTTATTATAGTAGCCCTAATGAACTAAAACATGCCAAAATAAAAGATTCCCAAAATCTTAATACCCTTTCATGATTTCCCTTTGTACAAGAAAGATATATTATTCATGTTATACTTAAACTGTTTTATTACATCTGTTTTCCTTTCAAATGTATAAAGTAAAAACAAATTATATAAATGTCTTTCACAACATTAGCATCTAGTTTACAAAATCTTTGCCACTTACCTTTTGAAATATCTTTAATTTTTCTGCCATACAAATCAAAAAGAAGTCTGGCTGGTAAATTTAGGTTCATCCTCATTGTGCAAGTATCTAAAACCTACACAGGAAAAAGAAAACTATAAATAATTTATCACAGTGAACTCTGGCTAAATTAAATACACATTTAGAGTCCTTGCTATACTCATGGCAATTAACAATTATATCATAAAATGAAATTTAATGATTTATAAAATATTTCCAACATGAAATCAAAAGGGAATTAAAACTGTATCTTAAAAATACACACAAATATTAATAAAAAAAGAGAAAGAGATGCAACCAGTATTAAAAAGTTGTTACATACTATTTAATAAATGAAAAAAGTCTGGGGGATTTTCTATTATTCTTACTATTTTCTATATTTTCCATTTATTTGACAAGAACAAAATATTACTTTTTAAATTAGGTTTTAAGGTACTCTCTTTAGTGTAAATTCTTTCCAAGTGTCCTAAAATAAATTACAAATGTAGTTTGAGCACAGTTCGCCTTGTAATTTGTGTTGTTCAGGTACTAAAAAATGGAATTAATAAACCACATTTCAAGGTTTTCTATGAGCCTGGGTCTCAAGGACCTCACTTTTCATAGTCTCTAATTTGCTCAAGCTTTTCCCTTAATATGTTAATGTCTCCCTGTAGCCCTTGTAAAGGTGAGACAATCATCTTTCCAATAACAGGGAAGCAAAAGTTAAACAAGCAAAAGTTAGAAAGTTTTACTCATAAGTGAGAAAAATTAAAGTAACAGAGAGGATGGAAAGAAAGTATCCGGTAACCTGGAGCAGGTTTCATTAGGATTTTGAGAGTGACTCCCGAAACAGAAAACTCGCCCTATTCCTTTAAAAGCACATAATATATTCCAAATCCGAATTGAAAGTACCTTGTCTTCCATTTTCACTACTCATTCCTATAACAAGCATGTCAAACGCAAAGGCTAACACGGACCAAATAAACAAGGTTGAAGTTAATGTGGGCCACAAAAAAACAAAAGCTTCAACTTTCATAGAAACGTAGGTTTATTTCGATGGAGGCATGCTGAATATAAAGGGCTGAAATAAATGCGTCATCGTTAACATAAAATAGAACATTTGAACAAAAATGAATGTTTTTTCTTGAACATTAACTTACCAGACACTGAATAACTGCACAAATTAATAAGCATAACGCAAATAAACCTATTTTTCTTGTTCTCCGAAAGCGAAATATTTCCTGTTGCGCACACCAACCAAGTCAGTCCAAGACTGATGACGTTGCAATCGGCTGCTAAAATATTCGCTGCTAGTATTAGTGGAGAGAAATGGTGCGCCTGCGCGTGCGGCACGTAAGGGAAATGAATGCAACAGGATGATAGTAATCAGTCATTAGCGGACGTTGTAGTTTGTTATTGATAATTACGTATAACAGGATATTGTAAAAATTAAGTTACGAAATTTTTATTAAAATGTTTCTTACCGTTATATTGGTTGGGCCACAAAAATATTCATTGTGGGCCACATGCAGCCCGCAGGCTGCGAGTTTGACATGCTTATTCCTATATTATACTACTGGCTTTGCATAACCAAGAATTACTGAAGGACAATTTCATTGTATGGTTGTATGGCAAAAAGAACATTTTCCCATTGCTGATACCACTCCCCTCCATTTCTGCCCACTTTAATTGCTACTTTAAAATTGAAGCCGGTAATCCTAGTCCTAGCCAAACAAACTCATTTTCCTTGTGACAATGGGCATATTAAACAGTTGAATATATATATTGAGGCAAATTTGTACTTTCTTTTCAGTTTGGGGAACAACTTTCAAAGATTGTGACTGATCTGGTTTATCCAGTGGCTGCCTCAAGTGCTGTGTTGCATTCAAGTGGCAAATATTTAAGTGACAAATTTAATTTGACAAATTGGCCTTTACTGAATTCTATCAGATGTTCTCTAACCCTGCACGTGACCAATAGTGTTCCCACATGCCACATACTCCCATGGGCATTCAACGGATTGTGTGTTTCTTGCACAATATCTGCAATCCAGAGTTTGGGGCAATTCTTCAGAAACTATGTATTGCTGCTATTTGTGTTTTTCAAATTTACAGGAATTATCTTGCACCCTTTAATTTATGAAGGAAATATTCACAAATCAGTGCTCCACCTGGATCTACAATTAGTCCCATAGGCCCTAAACAGATGCAGCCTCTTCCTTAGGTTCCCCACATTCCTGACCTTTCCAATACTTGTGTTTAGTTCGCAATCTCTTAATTTTACAAATCTATTATTTAAAAGTGCAACAAAACCCTTTTGTACAAATCACATTCCCTTGTTACTAGTGAAGGTTCAGATATCTAAATATTCTCCAAACTTATCATTTACCAGTTAAACTAAGTAAAATATGAGCTACTTAAAGATTGTCCAATTTGCTTTATTTAAAATCTCAATGATTTAAAAATTATTTTTAAAAAGTAGTAAGTAAAATCACATGGCTTTCTAACCCAAAGACTCCTCTTTTCACTGTGCTTAAAAATGCCAGTAAAAATGTCTGTGCAAGCCCTAACTGGTTTGGTTCAGTGGATAGAGTGTCGGCCTGCTGGCTGAGAGGTCCCAGGTTTGATTCCAGTCAAGGGCATGTACCTTGGTTGTGGGCACATCTCCAGTAGGGGGTATGCAGGAGGTAGCTGATTGATGTTTCTAACTCTCTATCCCTCTCCCTTCCTCTGTGTAAAAAAATCAATAAAATATATTTTTAAAAAAATATATTGGTGCAAGCCAAGTTTTAAGAGTTACATGAGTTTGAAAATTGGCATTAGAAATCAGATAGTAGAAATTAATAATGCACCAGCCACCAGGTCATTCTCTCCCACTTTCAGAATGTAAGATCCTTGCAGAATTTAAACAATGTCAAACTTCAATAGTCGTTTTCTCACAGTAAATCATTAGTGGTATGAATTAATATCAATATAAATTCCTGTCAAATGCCCTGGAATGAAACCTTTACTTGCAAGGTTGTTCTTATATTTATCAATTGAAAAAGAGTTAATAATGCCATCTTGCGATAATATTAAGGTTTATTAAAATAGCATTTCCAACCCTCGCCGGCTTGGCTCAGTGGATAGAGCCTCGACCTGTGGACTGAAGGGTCACAGGTGTGATTCTTGTCAAGGGTCTATGCCTGGGTTATGGGCTCCATCCCTGGGGGCATGCACAAGGCAGCTGAACAATGATTCTCTCTCACCATTGATGTTTTTATCTCTCCCTCTCCCTTCCTCTCTGAACCACAGCTTTTGCACCAGCTGCGTTCTTTGGTGGAGGAGAGGGGAGTTGGGGGCAGGGCGGGGGTGGGGGGGAGAGGAGCGGTAAGGCAAAAATCTCTAACCTGTCCTACAAGGCTTCAGCTAACTTAATGTACAGAAAATATAACAGTATTCGCTATATAAACCCAAGAAGCAAACCATTGAATTAGGAACCTACAGAAGAATTTTAGAACTTTAGCAAGCTGAAAACTGAAAGTGAATAGATAATTATGAAATTAACTCATTGGATTACTAAAAATATTTCACCATTGGCAATTAATTATAGTTCTCCAGTAAAAGCTCGCTATAATTTATCATCTATATTTTGAGAAAGGAAATCTGTTTTTACATATAGTCGTTTTCTCACAGTAAATCATTAGTGGTATGAATTAATATCAATATAAATTCCTGTCAAATGCCCTGGAATGAAACCTCTACTTGCAAGGTTGTTCTTATATTTAACAATTGAAAAAGAATTAATAATGCCATCTTGCTGTAATATTAAGGTTTATTAAAATAGCATTTCCAGCCCTTGCCGGCTTGGCTCAGTGGATAGAGCCTCGACCTGTGGACTGAAGGGTCGCAGGTGTGATTCTTGTCAAGGGTATATGCCTGGGTTACGGGCTCCATCCCTGGGGGCATGCACAAGGCAGCTGAACAATGATTCTCTCTCACCATTGATGTTTTTATCTCTCCCTCTCCCTTCCTCTCTGAAATCAATAAAAATATACTAAAAAATAAAATAAAATAGCATTTCCACTAATCTGTAACTGTTAAACTTGTTAAAATATTACCTTTACAAATTCACATTCTGTTAATTTCTTACAGTCTACGTTGTAGAGAGCCCTGCAGATACTGAAAGTTAAAATCATCATGCTGTAAATCCAGGCTCTTCGTGACAAGCCCCTGGGAAGAGATTTTCCACAAACTCCCTTTAGTTTAATCTATTTGATTATAGTTCTGGGAGTTATCCTCTCCTTCCATTCCTGACTAAAAACACATTTCTCACTGTTCTTTGGTGGAGGAGAGGGGAGTTGGGGGTGGGTGGGGGCGCGGGGGGAGAGGAGCGGTAAGGCAAAAATCTCTAACCTGTCCTACAAGGCTTCAGCTAACTTAATGTACAGAAAATATAACAGTATTCGCTATATAAACCCAAGAAATATAAACCCAAGAAGCAAACCACTGAATTAGGAACCTACAGAAGAATTTTAGAACTTTAGCAAGCTGAAAACTGACAGTGAATAGATAATTATGAAATTAACTCATTGGATTACTAAAAATATTTCACCATTGGCAATTAATTATAGTTCTCCAGTAAAAGCTCGCTATAATTTATCATCTATATTTTGAGAAAGGAAATCTGTTTTTACATTTTTTTTTTTGCTAACAAAGACTGTCAAATACATTATGAATTTTCAAAGAATTAGAATGTAATAAAATGTACTTGGCATAACTTTCTGCTAAGACTAACATTTTAAAATGACTAACAATAGAAAATATGATTATCATTTTAACCTGAAAATACCAGGAGATTGGGCTGAATTTATATTTACCTTATTAAGTAGCTTAAAGGTACTTTTCTGTATAAATCCTGGAGATATATTTACTGGCCTGTTATTTATCTTAATCTCACAAAACTAGATGATAGAATGTACACCAAATCTAGTTACTTGCTCTTACTAGTAATGAACATGACTATGATTTTTAAAAGCAATTATTTCTTGTGAATTTGAAATGTAGGTGTTCTGACATTTTATTATTAAAATGTGAATGAGAAGTAGGTAACTAGAGG